CTCGCGGGACGACCGAGCTCGCACGCGCTATTTTTAGCGACTCTTCATTAAGAATAATCTAGCCGCGAATAAAAAGATGTAAGTGGAACAGGCTCGATAAGCCGGCCGATAAAGATGTCACACGATACGCCCGGCTCGAGGACAAATCGATCCGTTTTTATCGCCGCCGCCGTTATTTCGGAATTATTAATATATGTTATTCGCTTGGATTAACGCGGTCGAGAGGGACGCATCTTCCGCACGACGTTGTTTCGAACGTGGTTCGCTGCGCGGAGAGGCGCGAGCGAAAGATTTTTCAAAGCGGACGAAGAAAGGCGGAAGGGGAGAGAATCGTCGAGAGTAAATTGCGGCGCGCGCACTCCCGGCAGAATCTCCTCGTTCCCAAAGTAACGGATTCTTTCGACCACCGAATACGGATGATTTTTGACCGAGTAATCGAGAGCGGGGGAGAATGTTTGCTTCCGCGTCGGCTCTCGTCGGATTTTCAAACGGAGCGAGACAAACGGACGACGCCAGCCGAGACGGCCCGCGATCGGGGCGCATTTCCCGAGGAAAGAGAACTCCGATAATCGCCGTCTGTAAGGAAATAATTAATCACGTCTGTAAAATCGCGGTTTGCGCGCGTCGGACGCGAATAGCCGGGATTACGCGGCGAGGCGAGGACGGGAAGGCGGGAGGTGCGACGCGCGGCAAGATATCGTCTTTGGTCGCGGTGTCGATCGATACTATCCTATCTATTATTAGACGAGTAACGGCACACGGATCGTTATTATTATTATGCGAAATGTATTTGTAGCCGACTTACGGACGACGACGAAGACAACGTCGAAGCCAGTTCTATTCCAGCCGCGAAAATTATGCCTCGGCCTTTAAGCCAGCTTGAAAATACAAGTAGAGACGGTCTAAGACAGGACAAAGAAGACGCGGCGCACGTATAGAAGGGACGAAACTCGATCGGCAAACTAATCGTTGAACTCCCGACGGCGGACGGAATTAAATCCCACTGAAGCTCGAAAATCGCTTAACCGCGCCGCCGAGGCGGCAATCGTTAATAATGAACCGCGCTCGGTCTCGAGATGTCGCGTTAATTTCGCTCGCTCTGCTCCCCCCCCCCCCCNTCTCTCTCTCCGTTTGTCTGTCTCTCTCTCTCTCTCCGTTTGTCTGTCTCTCTCTCTCTCTCTCTCTTTTCCTCTCTGTCGGTGGCCCCGACGTGGAAAACACTTTTAATACGTGCTCCGCAGCGTCTATCGGAATAATGGAGTCATCGGAATTACGGCGATGCGAGGCGCTAAACCGATTAATCGACACGCGCTCGTCGTTACTCGCGTTGGCGGGACTCTCTCTTTCCCTCTCCCATTTTTCTTTCCTTTGTGGCCTGCCGCGAGGATCCTTCCTGCTTCGGCCGGCCGGCCGTTGACGAAAATGTCCCGCGAGAAAATAAATGGAAAACGCGACCAGAGGTAAATTATTCAACAGTGTATTGACCGGCGCGCGTCGCGCGAGACCACGACGCCATATTTCCTATCTATACCCCTGCGGATAAATAATGCAGAGCGCGCGGAGGTTTCCAAACGTGTCTTTCTTTGCCACCGGTAGCTTAAACCTTAAAAATAAACGATTCCGCCGGTGCAATCGGCGAAGATACCGGCAGGCATCGATTTTCAATCAACCGCAGTCCTCGCCGGCCGCTTCTGGAAGAAACGGCGGGATTAATTATGCACCGGCCGACTAATTTCGGCACACCGGCTATTTGTCGAGGGGTGACCGCGACGATCGGCGAGAAATCGAATCGGGGGTTGGATTCCGCGGTAAATTTAATCCGAACGGTGGCCTAACGCCATTTCGACGCTACGTGTCACATATCCGTCCGCTCTCTCTCTCTCTCTTTCTCTTTATATTCGCTTTATATTCAAAAATTCCGTCGTCGTAAGCCTTAATGGGTAACTAGCGGGCGTACGCGAATCTTTCCACCGTTGATATAGCTCGAAAAATGGGAGCAACATTCTTCCTTGCGCGGGTAATCGGCAGTTCCTTCGAAACTGCCTGAATAAGTTCTTTTTTAAGCGACGAACAGAGCTGTGTCGATGGACTTGCCCGAGGGACGGGGGAGGGGGGNNNGGGGGGGGGGGGGGGGGGGGGGGCGTTACAGAGTAGAAAAAACAACTTTGTCGAAACTTCATCTTCGGCAGAGGTATCTTTGAATTTCTACATATGGATGAGCGACGCGGCGACGCGGGGGGAGAAGTTCACGGGAAAAAATACGAGGAAAAAGATATGCGCGACAAAGACGGTGAACAGAAGCCGCAAACTGCGCGCGTATCGCGACTCTAGCGGACGAAAACAGCGAAAGGAGGTTAGTGCGTCACGATTGACAGGAAAATTCGGCGTGAACGGGACGTACATTTTAACGCGTGTACACTGTAGGCTGAAAGATCGGAAACAGGCCGAAATGTAAAAAAAAGTAGTAGTATTTTAACCCTTTGCGCTCGAGAGGTGCCTCTCAGGCACCACTGGATATGATGCGACAACTCGAGCGGTGCCTCTCAGGCACCACTCGGATCGAGGCGGCAAATCGAGCGATAACGGTGTTTATTTAGATTTGGCCTAACGAATATCGCTTCACGAGTCTACTCCTAGCCCTCATGAAATAAGCGGGAGCAGCTACTCCTCTCGAGTTGCTGGTTCGCTCGAGCGAAACAGGCCTCGAACGCAAAGGGTTAATATTGCTTTGTACTTATTTAAAATGGACACTATTGCCCTAATTTGTGGACTTTTTGGGAAATATATGAAAACGAGCAGAACTGGGCATGATTTTCTCAAAATACTTGCGAATGCGCATCGAACGGTGTCTTACTTTCAATGATATCTGGCGATTATCGGGCTTCGATGACACTTTCATAATCTTATATAAAACTACAATATACTTCCAAAACAACATTATTTAACTATCGGTTTATTGCCCAAGTTCCTGTTCTGTGATTTTTTAAACTAGTTTATATCTTAAAATAACAAAAAAAACTCCCTATCAGATATTTCATTCTTCGACATATAACAAAATTGACGACGTTCTTTTCAAACAGAATTAATTCAAAATTACATCTTCAAAATTCAAATGATTGCTACATGGAAAGTAATTACACAGCTATCGCGAAACTTTGAAGAAAGCTGCAAGAAGAGCCGCATATTACATTAGAATGCTCTTCCGTGTTATTTTCCGAGTCGAATTTTGGTCACCTTTCACAGCAGAACAGCGTAAAACGCGACGAACAAATAGCCTCGGTGGAGACGAGCGCGTTAACGCGCGCGCGAGCAAGCGGACAATCGTAAAACGTGCGCGCCGGCCCGAATCTTTCCTCGCGTCGCGTAAACGAGCGCGCGGACGGCGCATTCTCGGGCGATTATTCGAGTCAGCAGGATATGCCTTCGGCTTGCCATTACACCGCCTCGTTTACACACAGGCGCTCGTGTGCGCACGCACGTGCGCACGCACTTCGGCTCTCTCGCGAGCGTAACGCGCAACGTAACCGCGCCAATATGCGCGCATGCATAATGCCAAGCATAACCGAGTGGTTTATTTATAACGGCGCGGAAATACACTCGGTGCCTTTATTGTAAAACGTTGTGTAACGACGTTGTGTAACGTAATTGCACGATAATACGGCGACGCGTGTGCGAGCGCGGCGCATGCACTTGCATCTCTCCTTTCCCTCCTCCCCCCTTCTTCCCTCCTCCCCCTCCTCGTCCGTCACCTCCACCACCGTTTCCACCCACTCCTCCTCCTCCTCCCCCCGGCCTTCTCATCGTCCTCGTTCCTTTCCTCTTTCCACCGCGAGAGCCGGCGATGATACCTGGCGAGGCTCGCGATCGGTCGGAATTAGCGAAAGCGGCAGGAAACGTCAATTTTCGGCGAAGACACCGAGGACGCAACGACGTCCCCGGTCTACTCGGAACCCGGACGTTTTTGCACGATCGGTGACTTTGATTTAGGAGAACGCGAGGAGGATTTCCGATCGGAGAACGATCGTCTTGAAGTCGCTCGTCGAGCGTCGATCGCGACGATTTCAGGTAAACAGCGCATTATCAGTCTCGACGTGGTGGTTTTCGCGTATCTCCGTCTCCTCGATAGGTCTCGAGCTGGACGGATTCGTCGAGGGGTGTCGATTCTCGGGGAAATCGAGCGCGAGTCCGTCCTCTCGAGCACGGCTGCCCACGCCCCGAGGTTTTCGCAAACGAGACGAAGAAGTGGATCCGATTCCTTTTTGCTCGCAGGTGCCCCGCCGGGTGCCTCTCGAAACGTTAGCCAAGCCGGGTATTTACGATACTGGCACGCGAATGTCTCTAATTATAGATCGTTGCAACATCCTCTCTCGGAATATGCACTCTGCACTCCGCCGCGTAGTGGGTGTAGTCCGACATGCCATAAATTGATGAGGACACGAGACGATACTCTCTCTCTCTCTCTCTCTCTTTCTCGAGTTGACTCGATTACGCGTCGACTCGATTTCGTGTAAAAATCTCATCGGCCCAGAGAAATGAATTTAACCACCGCGGAAGAGTCACTGCCTCGGCATTGCGATCGAGGCTGTCCTCGTCGTGACGCAATTACCGTTCGAAATTCCCGCTCCGAATTCCGGGAAAATGTTGCGGAAATTTCGTCGCGGTCGTTTTCAGCGATGCTCGAAAAAATCGGTATCGCGAAAACGACCTGAGCGCTTTCTTTTCCGATACAGCTCGGAATGCAAACGATGGCCCAACGAAATAGCTGATTTTCGAGAAATAAGTTCTCATTGAATCATTGGCCGCGCGTTCCAAGCTGCAGAGACGAGAAAGAAAATAACTAAACTAACTTACTAAAAAACAAATTCTCCTATTGGTCACGGGATGCGTGCCGAAACTCGCGAAGAAACGCAATCTTTTTGCAACGACTATATATCGTACATACGCATGGATGGACCTCGAATTACCATCGATTGTTTTCCGAAGACTATCGCCTGCGAGAAAAATGGCCGTTCTCTTAACGCGAAACCGATTCCCGTTACGAGCGAAGGGCGGCGGCTTTCATCGGCGACAATCTGGCGGAGTTTACACGTGGTGTAACGTTACCGGAAGGACGAAACGCGGCGGGAGAATCCTGAGGACCTGTCTGGCCGCACTGGTGGGCGCGGGTGCCACCTGCGGGTCGCTCCTGTATCTCCTGGACCGATCGGTGGAGGCAATGGTCCCTGTTCCGCGTTTGCCCAACCATCCCTGGGAGTCCCAGGGCTACCTGAAGTCCCTCGACCACTCGGCCGTGAGGCGAGGGTGGCAAGTGTACACGACCGTGTGTTATTCGTGCCACAGCCTGCGTTATGTACGATTTATGGATCTTATCAACGTGTCGCACACGGAGGACGAGGTCAAGGACATCGCCGCCGAGTTCGAGGTAGACCTGAATTTATATCGCGCGCTTTCGGTGTGGGCGTTTCTCCACCTCCTCTCACTTCGTCGCCGTTCTCTCGCGTATAATTGACTTCGGCTTCGTTCGGTCCGCTCGACGCGTAATTTAATTACGAGTCGGCTCGCGAGTAACGTCTCCCCCCCCCCCCCCCCNGCGCAAAAATGAGATTAGCCGGCACTTGGAGTACGCGCGTGAAACACTCGCCTCAGTCCCGCTATTGTGCGGCGGAAATGTTCGGAGAGGCTCGATGATATTTCTCTACATAGGAAAGGAATAATTAATGGAAAGAACAAAATTGCCTTCTCCCTTCGTGAGGTAACTCGGCTATACACGGTATTACAAGGCGGCCGGTTACAGTAAGATGGTGATATCGGTTGAAGTTAGCCGACGGATGAGCACGGTAAGGTCTGTGCGTGCCTTATTAAATCGCAACGGGGTAATTATCGGGCGGACCGGCGGTTTATAAATATATCATAAGGACGACGCGATCTTTTGTCCACCCAGTCTCTCTATTTCACTGCGTCGTCGCTGCGTCCTGCCATCGCACGTCCGTAATTTATGCGCCGACGATAGAGTAACTTCCCGTGTGAAATACGACCCGTTGCATCTCCGTGCGTCCGTTCGTTAATCAAACGGAATTCTCCGCGTAATTCTCGGCTGAGACTTGATAGGTTTTCCGGGAGAAGCCTCCCACGCTCTCGTCACTCTCGTTTCGCGAAAACTTACGTATTTGGCGCGTCATACCCGCGGTCTTGTCCAGGTGCAAGACGGCCCAGACGATGAAGGTAATTACTATATGAGGCCCGGAAAAACGACCGACAAGATACCGTCCGCCTTCCCGAACGACGAAGCGGCCAAAGCGGCCAACCTCGGCATGTACCCGCCGGATCTAACTTATATAATCGAGGGCAAGAGGAACGGCAAGAATTATATATTCGCCTTCTTGACAGGATGGATGGACCCGCCGGCGGGTATAACTTTAACGGAACTGCAACACTTTAACGTGTATTTCCCCGGGAACGTGACCGGGATGCAGCAGGTGAGCGCTGAAAACACCCCCTCGCGTGAATTAATTCTCATTCGGGGTATCCGCCAAGTTAGCTCTCACTTGATAGAAATGTATGCAGTTTTCTTAGATATCTGTCCGCCCGCATAGAAATTTTCCCAGATTTTCCCATTTACAGCATAGATTTCAATTAGAATATCCAAAGTTGTCACGAAATGAATTTTTTGCGCGCGCGCTATCTTCACTGTGCAAGGATATCTTCCGGGGGGTTGATTGTTAAATAGCTATTTTTTTTCTTGATCCTTGACATTCCACGGAATTTAATTATAGTATAATTTCGTGACACAAGTCGCTTGTATATCTCTTTAGTAATCTGAAACTTTAATATTTGTAATATTTTCCGTTTTTCTTGTTTATTTATGTTAATATTGACACATTTAGATACTTTATCTATACTTTAGATTTTACTGTTTTTTGCATATTTTTATTTCTTTAGCCCGAAGATCGCTCCGAACTTCAATCGCTTGAATTAGTGAGTTTAAAAAAAACCTATTCTGTTACAACAGCAAATTAGTTTGTCTTAAAGACAAATTCAGCAGAATATTATCTACACTGGTAACAGATCTGTTTCTCTGCTCTAATTACGAATAATTTGCTAATTTATTTATGCCAACTAAATTTAACTGCTGTCGCAACGAATAATAGCAACGGTGGTTTTATTACAACTGCAAAATTACTTTCCTCTGTAGTAGCGTGTAATCCGACACGTTCTAAAGACGCGAGACAAATCGTCAAAATTATCACCTGTCGTAGATTTCACGCGATAACCATTATAAAACAAAAGCGTGTTGACAGTGTCTCAACGAGAAATGTCTTCAGGTGCTGTTCGACGGAATCTTGGAATACGACGACGGCACGCCAGCGACCGTTTCGCAAATGGTGAAGGACTTGGTCGAATTTCTAACATGGACGTCCTCGCAAGAGTTCGACGAGCGAAAGTCGATGTTCATCAGAGCAATGGGAATCTGTCTGATATTACTCGTCTCGAATGCTTATTACTACAGATACGCTTGGTCGTCATTGAGGAGCCGTCAGATCGCGTATGTGCCCAAGAGGAAATATTAAGACCCTCACGATGGATTTCGAGTGACGATCCATACGAGGAAAATTCTCGACGTCGGGAAGATAATAGATGTAGTAACGTGTAAGCTACGTCGTTTCAAAATTGTCTATCGCGTCTACGGACGATCGTTTTTTTACAGTTTTAGGGTCCGAGCGGGCCGAACGTTTAGTCAGAAAAAATGTCAGATCACGTTTGCAAGAAGATGCGTCCATCGTTGAGAAAACGAAAGTTCGCGGATTCAGCTAGCCGGCCGCTTCTCGCATAATAAACGAAGAACAGTGATTAATCGCAAATACAGACAAGGCGGGGGCGTCGGGCTGAATCGCACTTCTCGCGAGATTATTTATCGAAGCAGATTTTAGCTCGACTCTCTCTCTCTCTCTCTTTCTTTCTCGCTTGCTCTCGACGCGACGGCAACGGAAATCTGTAATTCTTATTTAGAACCGAGACGCGCGCGCGCGTACGCCCACGAGGCTCTGCAAAGTTGCATCAGAGTGTGCACCTGTACGCGTAAAAATGCGGTCTAAAAATACGGCCGACATCGAACTACAGCAAAACCCACGTTGCCTCCGTCCTGCGTTGGCTGTTGGAATAACGTCGTCGTTGTCACGCGAGGAATACAAGCGATCCAGCGCAGGACTGACCGACCGTCTGACTGGCTTCTTCAGCAACGGCATGCGCGCCGTCGATAATCGTTTCGCAATGCGCGGCCTTGACGATGCCTGTATAGTAGCCGATCGGCTCGTCTAAAAATAGAAGAAGCTCGCGAGGAGAAGTCGCGGCAACAAACATTAACGTCGTCTCTCACGAGTCGTTAACTCCGGGATGACCGGTGGTTGCTTGTAAGCCCATCTATTCCGCCCGTAATAATATCCCGCGCCCCTGCGCCCGCCTCGGGGACACCTCACCGACTATTTTAAAGCCGTCGCGTACATAACGATCTCGTGTCCTCCTCGCTTGCGATTTTTTTTCTCTCTTCGGCTGCCTTTCAATCCTACGATCGACGACGACGACGATGACGACGATGATGCGACGGCGGGATAGAATGTCGAAAATAATATTGGGCGTTTCGACGGAGGCTATATATAGGGGATGATGCGTCAGTACAGCAACAAGTGAGGCCCCGGCGGGAGGGAACCGTGGACGGAGGGGGACAGGACAAATCGAAAATATACGGAACGATGAATGAAACCTCCGCATTGACGTCGCCAAGACGTGCCAGGCTATGCTGAGGTTATACGAGGCGGGTGCTGTTTTTGAATGCACTTCCGCCGGCGGGGCGGGGGAAGGGGGGCTCCGAGAGATACGCGGCAGATATCTCGAAATATCATCGATCGCTCCGGGGTAGAGAATTACCGTACTCTGTACCGGCGGCAGGGAGGGAAGAAAACGACGAGAGGCGATGTGACGTCGAGCATCGCGCGCGCGACGCGGGGAGCGAAATGCGAGGATCGCGGAATTGCCGTAATCACGGTAAGAATAACTCTCCTCGTGCGACGTAGATACGTCGTGCAAGATGGAAGCTCGATATTAGGGAGACGCGCGAACGACGATCCGTCGACTCGCGGCCAGTCCGCGCCGCATCCGCAACTGAGACAGACCACAATAGGCGGTCACAAAAAAAGTTGTGACACTTTTTTCGAGATGAGTTTCGCAACTCATCTCGTATCCAATAGGAAAATCTGCCTCCTGAGATTACTAAAAAAATTAATTCTCTTATTGACAGAGTTGGCAAATTTCCACATTTTTTGCTGGTCCATGTCGGTGACAAAAATTGATATTTTTCGGAAAAAACGGTGACAAAAATCGATTTTTTTTCTATTAAACGCGATAAACTCGCAGGAATCCTTTTTATTGATATTCTGAACAGGCAGCCTGAGGTGTTCTATAATCCCAACTATGATGCTGTGCGCAAAAATCCGCACGTAAAAACAAATGAGAAAGCGCGCGATTATATGTTAATACTCCTTATGAATTTTACAATACACGGTTGTGTTAAACAATTGGTTCTTTTATATAATAATATATTAATTCTTTGTATAGTTTTAGCCAGTTTTTCCCATTGGATAAAGTCCGAGACAGTAAAAACCGGAATTTTCCATAGTTTCTTCCACTTACTGAAATTTTCCGACCAACCGTGTCTGTTCACGTTCCGAAATTAGTAAAAAAAAAAAAAAAAGCGTCGCAATTGACGTTTTCGTGACTGAGCAGCACGTAACATCTCTCCTTTATCGTAAGGAAAGGAAGAAAGAGAAGGGAAAACAGAGAAATTAGAACGAGATAGAATCCTCTGGTGGAATATTCCGCGACAAATTGGACTCCCGCGTCGGTGTATAAATTAGAAACACGAGAATTGTAATTTCAAATGACTAATTCAACGAATTCAGCGAAACCGAATTGCGGGAAAGGAGCATGTCATGTGTCAGATTGGGCCAGATCTTGACACGAGTGTCTTTACCCGACGTTGAATCTCGCGGAGGTACGTTATTCGGATAATTTATTGTCGTTAGTTAGCAAGATTACTTATGCAAATATTTTCGGCCGAGATGGCACACATGGATGCTAATCGCGCAAAATGTTCCCCTCCGAGAGAAAGACAACCTTTCGAGCCGTTCGAGAAACTTAAACGATCCACGCACCTTCGTTGATGCAAATCACACGCTTCCGACAGATTGAAATACGTATCGAGCGACGGTTATTCGTTAACGGGGTACGATTTGGCACGAGGCTAGAGACACGTGTGTGACTTACTACGCGCCTGTTTTATTCGGAGGGATATTTCTTCATTAAAGAGATGCAAGCTCGCCACGGGGACACTTTCGGGCGTTCCTGCCGCGAAACGTACATATTTTAACAATCGCGGCGAAGCTACAACCAAACATCGGCGAAAACGAGTCGACGTGTACGGTTAGTGTATGACAAAAAAGTTGCAACCCTTTTTTTCCGGTGAGTCTCTCAACGCATCTCGTACCCAACAGGAAAATGCACCTCCTGAGAGTTCCCCTAAGAAACAAATTTCCCCCCTGGACACGGGATGCGTTCCAAAACTTATGAAAAAAGAAATGTTACGACCGTTTTGTCACTGACCATGCGTGTAAAAAAAAAAAGAGAAAAAAAAAACTGGGAGAAATTTTCGGTAAATTAAGACTCTTCGGAAGCCGTGCGCCGTTTAAATATAGGAAGCTCCCAAATAGATCGCGCGAAACGCACGCGGACGCGGATTCGCGTTTGAATGAAACTCCCGTTCGGATTGACGTCACGCGCATGCCGAACGTCGCCCATCGTTATCTAAGGAGAGACGCTTGTTTTGTGAAATCGCGCGCTACTCTTTGCGCTGCCAGACGCCACCGAAACTTCGAACCCGGAGGCTTACGTCGAGCGCTCGGAATAGCGAATCCCGGCCGAAAATAACTTCGCACTTTCGGTAATATGGCCATATGGCGCGGCCGCGCGATGAAAATACGCCTCGCGAGAAACGTCGAAGCCCATATCCACGTCGCCCATTTCACCGCTAAATGCGACTGGCCGATTTCGCCGAGCCTCCAATTAAAATAGTCTTCCGTTGAAACGGAGCCTATGACGAAACGCAGACCGAGCAGTAAGGTCCCATCGTTCACCGGAGAAGGTTTTCAATCGCTTGTCATTCAAGGATTACCGCAGCCTCGCAATCTTCGCTGATAGAAAATTCCTCGAGTCTAAATTTTAGTTCTACATTAAGACCTCACATGGAAAAACCGGCAATAATTTCCGAATTGCGGTATAATAACATTCATTTGAAGTATTTACCGTAGAACTAAAATTGTGATTCGGGTCACGTGAAGACATTCCATAGAGAGACAGACAGACAGAAAGAGAGAGGGAGATAGAAAGAGGGAATATTATAATAAAAATCAACGCAACATTTTATAATACCGAAATTATAACTAAAATTATGATGTATGTTGTAATCTTCAGCGATGATTTCATTGTACACATAACTAAAGATTACAACGCATATAATAATTTTAAACATAATCCCGGTATTATCCAGCATTACAAAATTTTGCGGTAATTTTTACAATATTTTCTACGTGCACGGAAATTAGAAATTACAGTCTTTATCACAGGAATATTGTATCGAGAACGTGTAAAAACAAATGAGAATCGAATTGCACCTCTAAATTCCATTTCCTCTCTCTCTCTCTCTCTCTCTCTCTCTCTCTCTCTCTCTATCTCTATCTTAGATAGAACAAAATATTTGGCTAAGTGTGTTTCCGTAATGTCCAATTCGTCTTGCTCTCGGGAATTCACTCGTCAGTTAAATTTGGCTCCGAGCGTGTACTTAACGATCTTAAGTGAGTCTTCCGGGGGGCGTCGTCGGGCACGATCGAAGAATATCTTGGCACTTTCGATCGCGCACCATCGCCGACGCGCGGAGCATACACGAGCGCTGCAATTTTGAGAAACCACCGATTATCCGGCCGTCTCTCATTTCCTCGCGCCAACGCAGCCGCTCGTTAAAATAGAAGATCACGCAGAGAGTCTCCGCAAACCCCCCCCCCCTCTCTTTCTCTCTCTCCTTCGCCCCCTTCTTTCTCTATTCACTTTTTCCCGTTTTTCCTTTTCTCCTCTTTTTCTACCTACCGCCGCCGCGCTTGCTTTCATAGTCGTATCGGTGGCTCGGTGTTTCACGGTCAGCTCGAGTTAGCCTATATAGTTAATTTAATAGGTTAGGAAAGTGAGTCGGCTGGAGCGGAGTAGAAATCATTAATGTCCCGTTTCCAGCCGTTTATTCGGATCTTTCTTTACGAAGGCGTACTCACATCCGAACCACGCGAAAGAAAGGGGGAGAGCGTGAGAAATGGCTCGGTGCGGGATAAGTATCCGCTAATGCGATTAGAATCTCGTGTAAGATCTCTACCGAGCTAAACGCGCTCCATTACGCTGTATCGCGAAGGAGTAGAGCCTTCGGTGCTTGCCGGACGATTTCAGCGGAGATTAAATCTGTACTTTATTTACGGCTCGAACAGCGCTAATGATACACCTTGCGCCTGCACTTTGGACGCGCGATTAATTCAGCGTCTCGCGCGCGTTGCGGAATGCAAATCCGCGGGGCGAAGTCGGGATACACGACGCTTGCGGTATCTCACAGTGTGCGGCCACCGAAAAATGGCACGAGTCCAGTCGCGACGTGCATTGCCGGTCTCAATGAGACGCGGATATAAAGCGGGGCGTATCAGTTTCCGCGAGGTCCTCGCGGAGAAGATGGCGAACAGCCGGTTTCTTCGCGACTCGCACGTCAACCGGAACTATATTCAAGCCGCCGACCGCATCATTCGTTTTCAGGACGGAGAGGAAACGTCCCGCACGCGATTCCGCGTTCAATAAAACCCGGCCGGCGGTTATCGTTTAAGGCCGTGTTTACGCCCCCGGGGTGCATAAAAGCGCGCGGCGAGGGACGGCCGCGGGGTTTATTTTGACAACTTGGCACTGCACTTCCGATTAATAATAGTCGTAAACGTCTCCCGCATATCTTCGGCCGGACAAACAATATATTTCTGTCGGCGACAGCTCGATCTGTGGGAGGTCCTGCCGTTGTGTCGTAATGATCGCCGTCATGGGAAGAAGAGAGAGAGAGAGAGAGAGGGGGTGGAAGCCACCTTCTTTCGCGTATCTGACTCCGTGTCGAAGTAAGCGACGTCGCCGACGTCGATATCGGTGATATCAATACTGTCGACGATATCGACAAGGCATACCAACATCGTGACTTTTGACTCGACGAGAGGCGCTCGCTCATCAAGGACGATATTTATAAAAAAGGAAGGTGCGGAGAAAAACGTCACGCGCTCTCCGTTACTCGGAAACTTAATCCTCTCTTGTGTCACTCAGTCTTCGTTTTTTATCTCTTTTACCGAGTATTATCCTAGTCCTTGGACAAAATTTTACCGATCTACACGTTGTTTCGCGCCGTTGACAATTGTACGAGATCGAAATATACATGCCGGTAATTTAATCGAAATAAATTAATTTAAGCGTCTCACTCTTTCTCTCTCTCTCTCTTGCGGTCCGCGATCATTCACGAACCAAGCGTCTCCGTTGCCTTACAGGTCCACGGATTCAGGTGCCAGGATCACCTGTCTTCATTCATGTGGAGGTAAGCCAGAAGAGCTCAGGCAGCGTCCCTCTAATTTCGGGGGAAGAGATATACACGAGAGCGCGAGAAGAGCGGAAGAACGGGGAGCGGGGTAGGGAGTGAGCTGGCTTCGAGGAACACCAGTTTCTTACCCAACCAACCGGCTGCCAGTATTTCATTCATATTATTATCCTGGCCCCGGTGGGACCTGCGCGCTTCGAGTTATTTCGGTTTTTCCGAAACACGTCGTCGCTGTCGGACGACTGAAAAACGCGCGTCGCCCGCGAGAGCTGTCATCGACGCGGGTAATCGGCTCACCGAAATGCACAGTGCGAAATCGCACGTTTTAATTACGTCCGTTAAAAATAAAGAAAAGAAAGGAATTCGAAGCTTTTGATGACTCGGTTTTGAAAAATGACACGACGCGTGAAAATGCTGTAACAATGAGCAAGAGGTGCCGCGTCATCTTCAGTCGATCGTCCT